AACAAAAAATAACAGTAACGGTCCTTCAAAGTGGGGGGGGGGGGGAGGACAATTTGCAGAACAGCCTAGAAAAAAAAGTTGAACTCAGAAAAGTTTGAAAAGTTTGAAAAAAAGAAAAGCTCACATGACTGCTCATTGAGTGCATGCACGTATTGTCATTCATTTGGCAGCTGTACTTCGCGTTTATCAATTGAGCGGTTGACATTCGTGCATCCAGTTAAAAAAAGCGTAGGCGGCTGTACATAACTAAAGAACCCGCTCGCATCTGCAGGGGAACTCGACTAAGTGCCTCGCAGAATGGAAAGGGTATTGTGCGAATCTTGCGTGATTGGGTATGGTTTTAGAAGGCTTAATAGTTCTTACGTCTTTATTATTCTTATTTATTGAATGAAGGAGAAGCGTTTCCTTCAACGAGTGGTGGGACGGTGACGTTGGGTTGTGCTCCAGCACTGTTGCTTCCATCGCATTTACTTGAGTCAAGCAAAACATCAAGTCTGCGAAATCCAACTAATGACGTTCTTGACTGAATTCCAAGCACGCACTCCAGCGCTTATGTACACACACTCCCGCATTCGAAGGAGGAGAGTACGGAGGAGAGGTCCACACGCCCTCTGCGCATGTTGACTTGCTGGAGCTGGACGCCCGGGGGTGTCTTATCCTTTAACCATTCAGACGCCATGTATGAAGAACTGTCTGTGAATGTGTCAAATCACTACAATAATACTTTAAGGCACTCAATATTCTATTGCAGCAAGAATAATCAGACAATTCTTGAATTTATTAGGGTAGTATCAACTAATCCTAATTAAGTTGTAATTAAATATCTCTTCAGTGATAGATGCTTACTTTTGGCATGAGTAAAAATGAATCTCAGACTTGGCATATAGTGCAACTTCATTTTTGGTTAGGTCTTTTTTGAGCAAAGAAAAATTCTTCTCGTATTGCTCGCAGGAAGTGGCGCGTCGGACGACGCGTTTAATGTGGTATTGCCTTCAGAAAAAGTGATAATATGTATCAGTATTCTGCGAAATGAAGCTAAACAAAGAAAAATTTGTTATGCAGAAGGTTTAAATAATCCAATGTACGATATATCTTGCGCTTTCTTAGCCTGTACTTGATACAAATAGCAAAAATGATTGGTGTACACAACTGTGTACATAGTATCTGAAAGATTGAATGGCTCCTGGATCGACAGTTTTGCAGGTGTCTTCTTGGTCTGGCACGAGGTGCGAGCATGCACGTAGGTGTGTGAACGGTGACTGACGCCGAAGAGAGACATTCTGCAACTAAGAAATGCTCCGCATTTAAAAAGTGCTGGTTGCACTGCAAGGGGAAAGCAATGAATGATAGCAGCAAATTGTAATGTAATACGAATTGAGGCTGGATTCGATCTCGTGTAACTCCACAAAACGCTGGTGTATACAAAGGCAGCCACATCAAGGAGAGCAACACACTTCGCGATGAGAGTGCAGCACGTATAAGTGTATGTGAGTCACCTGCTGCTGACTAAGACAGCGTGCGCGCCAACGATCATGACAATTGCCCTTAATCCTGTCACGTGCGAGCAACCGAGCGGCAGCAGGACACGCATTTGTTTCACATGTGGCGCCGCTCCGCATTCGGTGCGCGTTTCTAATTTAGTTTACATTGTGAACGCTCTGTATCTCCTGTGACGGCTGTTCGATTATTCGAGTGGGTGTGTTCCTGTGCATCTTTAAGGGAAAATCGTACGTGAATAAAAATTTGTGATGTTTGACTTGTTTCTTGTTTCGAGCTCGCGTAAAAAGTTTATAAGGAACATTCTGGCACAAAGAATGCTCATGTCATAGCAATGTTCACTATTATCTGGCACGTGCCACAGCTTTATGTTATGGCTTTTTCTAGTAAAGGTGTATCTGTTTTTCTAAGATGCAGTTGATATAGTAGTCATGTTATCTCAAATAAGAGCCTGCTGTTGAGAAAAACTGATCACAAGCTGAAGCATTTCACTTTGAGATAATGGTTCCGAATTTTAAATGCACATTTATTTTTAGGGGCGAAGCTCCTTAATGCCGAGGCTTGTCAATGGTGGCATTGGCTCTGTGCCTCACAGCCGCCAATGACGATGATACTGATGACGATAAAGACCTAGCGCTCCTGAACCTGAAAACGCTCCTGAAAATGATCCTGAACGCGCTTTCCCTCGTGAAGGTGCAGCTGCACGGGAATGTTGACAAGCCGAACCAGGCTGGTGACATTAATGTAGATATCATGAATGACAGACTTGTGCAGCATATGACATCGCAATATGCTCTGAAATGTATTTTATTTGATTATAAACAATCAACAACAACCAGGGGGACGTGTATAAACATCATCTTTGTGAACTTTCGCTAGCTTACACCCCATTGAAGAACGCTTTGCTCTTCATTTCACTGATCATAAGGCAGTCTTAATGAAGGTAAAGCGAAGTCCATACCTCAATACCTGCTATGACTAGTAAAACAACATCGTATATTCTGTACAGACGTGTTGTCACTCATCTGCATGTTCGAGTGAGCAGTGTGCAAGGGATTCAAAGTTACCTGGATGATCCCACAGAGCTTCACCTGCTCATTACCAGTCAGTTCGTGAATATGCTGTGATTTTTTTTCCTTATGTCCAGTAAGAAGCACTCGCAGCATATCTTGCACTTGCACTGTTTTTGGAGCTTGTGCTTACGTCCGAGCCAAGCTCTATGATCAGGCTCTGAATAATGTTATCGATTTCGTCATCCCTCTCCCACGATTCAATTTCTATTTTTTCCACATGAGCACAGTCCCGCCTCCAGTTTCCCTCGCTCACCAAGTGCAAGAGCTTTGATACCTTATCAAGATTAATTTTTATGTTATTTGCGGCCCTGTAACTTTTCACCTGGCTCCAAACTAGCTCGATCAGATTTTGTTCACAGTGATAAGGTGGCAATCATAAGACATAATGACCAGCTGCTTTAGCGAGTGTGTCGATTCTGTACCCAGCATACTTGTGCTTGTGCTTGTTCACCAGCTCCAGCAGCTCAGCCTTTAGCCAGTCAGCATAGAAAGGAATGCCCTTGCTTTGAAACCTTGACTGCATGTCGCCTTGTTTAGTTGACCAAGAGGGCACCTTTTCAAGATGCACGCTGTGGTTGCTCGCATTGTTCATGACAATTAGACTGCCCGGTTCAATGTTCGGCAATATCTGTTCCAAGAACCACTATTTTTTTTTATTGTAACTTTCACATTCATGTAACAAAGAACTTCGCAAACATTTGTTGGGTCCCATAGCCTAACTGGCTTTGAGATAATGTTACGCCATTGACCGCCATTCAAAACGGTTGCCAACTATTTCTGCATGGTAGTCTCCTGATGCTTTCTTCGCACAAAAGACGAGACGTGCTCCTTCCACAAATCCCTTCTTGCTGCCCGAATGAAGCACAATCAGCCAGAGGTGCTTGTCCAGCTCAGAGATCTTTATGAAGCCACACTGCAGGCGGTACATCGTGAGCTGACTCAAACGCAGCACGCTCTCCCGCTCAATCGCCAATGGGCTGCAGCTCACTTACGTGAGTGGCAGCGCGTTGGTGGGAAGGAAAAAAGCGCGATATACATCCCTATTTTTTACTTTTCTACCAGAGATGGTGCTGCTTGTTCAGAGTTGCAGCGCCAGGATGCGTTACTTTCACTTCCTGTAGTTTTTTCCTCATGTGTGCTTGAAACGTGTACATTTCTTGCTCTGTTTATTCAGGGTCGATTAGTACAACTTCTTGGAATTGTATCCAAGCCTCGCCTGCTCTATTGTTGAGACTACCTAAATAAAGGCACCGCCTTAGAAGAATGAAATGGCTGGAAGTTATTTGTTATGTTTTTGTTATGATGTGTTTGCAGAACACATTAATTGGTTGAGCAGAGGTCTGGGCAATGGCATCAATCCAGAAAAATTACAGAGGGGACACACATCTTGCTATGGTGGCTATTTTGTTCACATAAATGTAGTAGAAATATAAATCGTGCCTTGAAATCAAATTGAAAAATGAATATGGGTCCTCAGCTTGCACAATTTCATTGTTTTATTGAGTCTTTTTCTGAAACCAATCAAGTGAGCAATGTACAGCTGAGCGGTATAAACATCGTACATGCTTGAAGAAAAATTAAAATATAAATAAAGGCATTGTAAATGTTGAATGCTCCATACATAATTGTCAAGCCATTCGGATATGTAATCCTTGGAAGCTAAATCACAGTTGTATTGTAGTAACAGCGCGGCAATGGTAGGAAGAGACAAAATGGGCAGGAAGTGTACTAAATCATGGTCTTTTCCTACCGTTGTCGGGCTCTTACTACAATGCAATCATGATGAACCAGCTCGCCCAAATTAGGCTCTTGTTGGTATGTCATGGGAAGATTGGGACTTCCCTGACCTCCTATGATTTATCCCACTGAGCCTGATCCCCGTATTCTAGAACGCCCCTTCACTCAACGCTCCACCTTCACTCAAGAAAGCGGATGGAAGCGTCATCTCTAGGCAGGGAGAGTCACTGCATATCAGTGATAATTTGCTGCTATTCTTGAGTAGAGCAGCGCCATTCTCAACCGAGCAGCGGCGCAGCGCTCAACTCTGTCAAGTGAAGGGTGAAAGTCGAGTCGAGGAGCGTTTGTGAATACGGGGGTGAGTCACTTTGATTCAAACTGGTCCGTGAGTTTGTAAATTTATTTTAAAGTAATATTCCTAGCTTACGTTTCAGTTGGTAATTGACCATATTTGATGAGAAAATAAGTCTTTGAGAGAAACAGAACTGAAATGTACATCACGTAACTGCCCTAAGCAGCTTTGTCTCATTTTTCAATGTGGCTCATCAAAAAGAAAGCCCTCCTCATTTGATGAACGACCACTCATCCAATTGTACATTTTTAAATATAAATTATGAAAATTATTCTGTGCCGTATATTCACTTTCATTGCCACACTAAAGTGTGCTCATGTTTCGTGCTAACTCGAATGCAGGCTGCTCCCCGAGCACACGTGAAGGGCCGCATTGTTGCTGGAACTTCTGGAGTGATCGTTGAGGGCGTGTCGTCGGCAGAGAGCAAACCCTGGAAGAAACATCACAATGCCGGCAAGAAGGAGAAGCTAAGAAGAATTTATGCTGAGCACGATGCTTGAGAAGCTTTAAACTGTTCTCTGTGGACGCTGTTATTATGACATTGCGTTGGAGACTTGCTGTTAAGAAAACCTGGCACACAGATGCCTTCCGTAGTGATTGCTGTCTGCTTTTGGGTGGTTTGAAGCCAACCCGCCAGAGCTTCTACTGTTGGCCTTCTGGGCCTTGTGCCATTGAAAAATCACTTCTGCTGAAGAAGCAGGGCATGACTGCAACAGTGTTTTCCTATGGCTCATTGCAATAGCATGCGAGGATATTTATTACAGGCTGTGCCCGTAGTGTCGAAGCCGCACTGGGTGGCCTCTGTCTCCCAGCATTGCTCCCGGTATGCGCAGACGACCTGCTGGAGTACCTGCTGACACTCTCACAGCCTGCCGTTGTGTCGTTACGTTGTGTTTTTGTGCTAGCGCAGCAGAGTTAATTCTACCTCAAGGTTATGCAGTTTTGGGTTCTAGGTCGAATCTCACGACCTCTTTGCCGAAAGTTATTAATCAGCACTGTGACTGCACATTGCCACTTCCCGAAGGGTGCCGACCGAGATGGCTCGAACCTTGAGTCGATAAAATTTGCGTCTGCAGACCTGACTTCACAGTGGGTAGCTACTATACAGGCACTACCTTCATTGTACCTATCCGCCTCGATATACCGTCTCGCTCGGCGTGCACAGTCAGCATGTAAAGGCGTCTCTTGGAATCGTGTTCAAAAGGGGGGGGGGGGGGGGAACAAACAAGTTTCACTCAGCAGCTGTTTGAAATCGACAAGTACTGCAGATTGGGCGAGCACCTCATGAATAAGAGTGGTTTAGCGTGTCCGTATTATTTTCACGTTACCCAAATAATAGAGAGATCTGGGTGTACGCGCACTTTGGAAAATTTCAGATCGACCCCCGTGGAATTTTGTAACGTAGCTTTTGTATATGTACTACCGGCGTCAAATGAAACCTGAATAGGGGCAAGCAATCGCGATGGTACATTGACCGCCATCCACTCATCGCCGTAGACTGGCACGCATATATACACTGAGCTGCCGAACAGGATGCGCTTGCATGTCAGTGGTGATAACTGGACGGTGCGCACTGTACCGTTGCGAAGTCTTGCCGCTGTTCGTGTCTTATTTGACGTTGATAGTACACATGCACACCGAAGTACGCGCACGAACACAAGTATGGCTGAACCCCCCACCTCATACAGACACACTTGAAAGTTATGGCTACGTTACTGCATTCTATTGTGGCTTTAAATAGTGCATGTTACTTGTGTACCAATTGAGATGCGAATATAGCACGAGGTGACTCGGACGTCCTGCAACATCATGACCTAATTACGTCATGATGTGCTAGCGGTCGTTTTATTTACTTGATAGAGACCATAATTGACATGGCAGGACTGGAGCTCATGGCAAAACATAAAGTACTAGTAGAAAGAAAAAAGTGTAAGTTTTGAGGGCTAAATTTTTTTGTTAGACACAATAATAATGAAAACTAATAGAGAATAATGCCAAAAGAAATCTAGTTGTAATAGTAACAATAATGTGGAGAATAAAAGGGCACGAAAAATTAACATTCCGCCTGCATGGCCTCAACCTACAAGCTTCCAGTAACGCGTCAGAGGATCTACGAACTGAGCTACCACCATGGAGCCAAATTGAGTATAAGGAGGGCTTCCCCCCACTCCTTCTGAAGTGCATTGGAACAGCAAGTGGTTGTTTATAATAGATCGCAAGTTTTGGTTTTGGTTCCACGCACGCACAGTTTGAAATGTGTCTTAAGCCCCTCCCACCTCCCCCTTCTATTTTTTCACTACAGCCGGTCTCCGGGTTACATTTCTGAAAAGCCACGGTGACATTATGTTTTTTTATCATGAGCCTATAGATGCGATTGCAACAATTATTCACGAGCCATTAATGCACCTGCCCCTTTGGCAACGCGCAATTATGACTGACAAAAAGAAAACGAGAAAAGAACAAGACAGACAACATTTATTGAATGGAGCCAGGCCTCTTGCATTGTAGCCACACGAAAGTACAGAGCGGTTGTTGCCACACTATTCTCCACTGGTCTACTTCAGCTGAAAGAAACATAAAAAGAAATGTGTATCTCAACATTTCAGTTGTATCGGAAGATTGCAATTTATCGTGTAGAATTAGAAACAATCGCAATTTTTTTTCACAAACATCGCATTGTGAGGATTTCTCTATGCTCTCATAATACAAAGCGTTAAATCACACAACATGATTTTATACGCCTTCAGAGACATAAGCACGCATATTTAAGTTACACTGCCACATGCAGTCACAACTGGCACCTTGTCACAGATGAAAAGTTTTTGCAACAACTCGAGAGAGAGAGAATAAACTTCAATTAAATGTGATAGTCCGTGGTTTACTCCTGGATGGAGCCATATTGTAGAGAGTAGAGCCCTACTGGCCGCGGCTATTTGCCGAGCCTGGTCTAAGGTCACCAGTTGGCTCACCATTGCCAGCTCGGAAAGCCGTGCCTCCCGAGACCACGTTGTGAGTGTTTCGCGTGAACGCGCCAGCCCAGATGCCACATGGGCTGGGCGCTCTGCACATTGGTAAGTGATGTGTGAAAGTGTGGTCGCTACACCAAAGGCATGTCTCTGTTGTGTATACCTGAAAAAAATTGCATGTAGTCTTGATATGTGTGGATATGTGTTCGTTTGAAGGCGGCACCAGGCTGCGGAGGGGCGCATTTACTCTTGTAAGGCCTTGGTTTTCCCATATCTGCCTTTTGTTATGTTATTATGCTGTTACGAAATAAATGCTGAGGGTGAAATGTTCTTGGATTGTACAGAAGCCAAAATTTTCGAGGCACGCATATATTTATCTTCCCGCTCCTGCAAGTTATCTTGCGCCAGGCGTAACGCGGGCGACGCACGTTATCACTTAACCGCTCCAAACACCCTCCGCATTTTCTACAAGCTTGTTAATTTTGATTGATATGTGGTGCCTAATTTCCCAAAACAACCATATGATTATGAGAGACGCCGTAGTGGAGGGCTCCAGAAATTTCCACCACTTGGGGTTCTTTAATGTGACCCACACCTGAGCACACGGGCCTACAGCATTTTCGCCTCCATTGAAAATGCAGCCAGCGCAGCCGGGATTGGATCCCGCGACCTGCGGGTCAGCAGCCGAGTAGCTTAGCCACTGCACCACCGCGGTGAGTCTACACGCTTGTCCACTTGTTTACAGCGAACTGTCGTCATGTGATAACGCGAGTGCCAAAAGTAATGTGCATCTGTGGAACATGAAAACCGTCACAAACTGTTCTATATATATGCTTACGTCAAAGCGCCCGATTCCTAGTTATAGCGCAGTCACTACCAGCCAAGTGTGCTCTGGACAAACTATGCACTTACTACGCAGTACTTCAAGGGACAAAAAGAAATTGAGGGTTCTCCCCTTGTCATCATCAGCAGAGACGACAACGTATTGCTCTGTTGCAGAGCGCCTGTCGCATAAAACATTTCTCAGTACCCCAGCTTGTCGTTGTGAAGAAGCAGAAACAGATTGCGCCGAAACAGGTATGAGAGCTGCCCCATAGAGAAAGAAATAGCCAAAAATTTAGTAGCTAAATATGGCCAATTTTATTTTTAGTTTGGTTTTTGTACATTTTAACATTCAAGTTGAACATTTGAATATAGCAATTATTGAAGGCCAACTTCAAAAAAGTGAACACTACACTCCTCAAGCTGTGGCTCATAGGACCGTTGTCTTTGGTGAGTCACCTTGGAATGGAATGCAACATCACCTCTAGGACCAGCTATCAGCAACACTGCAGTGTGTTATGCATGGAGGGCAGCATGGTGAATGTTTGTTTGTTGTGTTTTACGAGTACACATTTTATGACCAGATAAAAAATTAATGCCAACAGCCTCGTAAACATTTAGTTCATGCATTGAATTGAATTTAGTGTTGCATAATAAGTAGAGAAAAGAGCACAGCTTGCACTGGAGACCATTGCAAAAGACAGCGGATCTGACAGTGAGCTTCGCACTAGCAAGCGCGAGGTGGGAGCCTGTGCTGGGCTGTTTTAAATGCGAATCCATTTCTTAGTCGGGCGATGACGGGCCACGGCCGGTCTGGAGGCGCGCGCTCCCTTTCCTTACGGCCTGAGCAGCATCGGGGAGTTCAATGGAACTTTTTCTATACAGTCACGATGGCGCGCTCCGCGAGAGGGCGTCGCGAGCCAACGCCCTAAAGCCCGTTGCGCCGCATGCGCTTCGTATTGTAAACTAGCTGTGCCTGGCCAATTTCTCGTGCTAATTACTTCTTCTGATTGTAGGAAGTGGTGAAGGAAGTACAGATGCGTCTGGGGACAATGTGGCTTTCTCTGCACTCGGAAAAAGAAGACGCACACGCAGCGCTACTAGCCACAACAATCTTTATTTTTTAAGACCTGACCACCTTATTTTTGAAGGAGGCGAAAATGCTTGAGGCCCGTGCTCTTAGATTTAGGTGCACGTTAGAGAAGTCCAGGTGATCGAAATTTCCGGAGAGCTCCACTACGGCGTTCTTCATAACCATATCGTGGTTTTCGGATGACCATGCATGCTGATGCAGATATCACCGAGTGCGTCTTTGTGGTCGTTTCTACAATGAGACGGGTAATCTCATCCTTATGACGAGCCACTGAGATAGGGTTACCTTTGTAAACATGATATACTTCTTACTTGTAAGCATGATAGTTACAATATACTTCTAAATTCACATATATACTTCTAAATTCACATATAAACCCAAAAAAGTGGATGGAGGGAAAGCCGCTGTGGTAGCTCAGTGGTAAGAGCATCGAACGCGTTATTCGAAAGTTGTAGGTTCGATTCCTGCTCACGGCTGGTTATTTTTCATCCACTTTTCTGTCTTCTTATTTACATTCTATTGGTTCTAATAACTTCCCCTGTACATTCCTTGGCATTACTGTGTGTTAGATCTCATTAATATTGTGTTAAAACACGAAAAACGAGCCCTTAGGTATACACTTCTTTCCCTTATTTCATTGAACGAGGGTCTTGTACTGGCAGACATGGTGTGTTTAGGTTGTATAAGAGGGACAATTAATCAGCTGCCCGCTCATAATAAGTTCACGTGCTACGTGACCCCAAACATGCGCATAAGAGTGTTTTCACACTCGTTTGGCTTATAGATGGCACTGACTGTCACTCCTACTTCTAAATTCACATATAAACCCAAA